AACCCATTTCTATAAATCTATACCTTGCCACATGGCTGGTGGCTTACCGCATCTTTACATGCTGCTTGTCCTGGCGGTGGCTGCAGTGTCTCTCCCTCCTTCTTCCTGTTTTCCCAATTCTCCTCTCTCTTTGTCCCGCCTATACTTCCTGCCTGGTCACTGGCCATCAGTGTTTTATTTATATAGAGTAATATCCACAGCACCCATACAATGAAGAGAATATTTGCCAGCTATAAAACTGACAAAGATTATTATCTAAAATATAAAAAAAAATTGAGTCAAGGAAACAAATGATCTAATTAAAAAAAGGCTAGGGATCTAAAAACAAAGTTCTCAATGGAAGAAATAAAAATAGCTACCAAACACCTCAAAAGTTCATCATCATCCTTAGCAACTAAGGAAATGCAAATTAAAATTATATTGATTTCATTTTCCTCCAATCAAAATAGCTGAGACCAACAAAACAACTGACCACAAATGCTGGCAATATTATGAAGAAAGTGTAACCCTCATTCACTATTGGTGGGAAATGCAAATTCATACAGCCACTCTGAAATCATTATGCAGAATCCTGAAAAATACTTTAAAAAGAAAAAAAGAACCAGCTACACCACTCCTTGGCATATGCCTAAGGGACTTGACATTCTACTCCACAGATACTTGCTCAGTCATGTTCATAGCCACCCTATTCACAGTATCCTGGAAATGGAAACAACTTAAATATCCTTCATCATCTATTCAAGATGAACGGATAATGAAAAACTGCTACATATGCACAGTGGAATATTATTCAGATATAAAGAAATATGAAATTTGCAGGTAGATGGGTGGACCTACAAAAGACTGTGTTGGGTGAAGTAACCCAAATACAGGAAAACATAAGCTTCATGTTCTCTCATCTGTAGTCCCTAGCACCCAAACTTCAGATGTGATTATGACAACACAAGTAACCAGAGAAACCAGGGAAGTATAAAGGAACCATGAGGAAGAAGGCATGGATGTGGGGGAGGGGAGAGACTAACAGGACACAGGTGATATGAAGTGGGAAATGAAATAACAAGAAGTCTTCAACTCTGTGGAGGAAGGAGAGATACAAGGAGAAGGGATAAGAGACAACATCAAGGTAGTTTGATAAAACCCGAAGGAATCATATTATTTTAAATTTACCACAACATATATGTGTGTGTGTGTGTGTGTGTGTGTGTGTGTGTGTGTGTATCTGTGTGTGTGTCTGTGTGTATACAGGTATACAGCAATCAATGGTACTCACATGTTGGTGGCAACTAATATCTCTCTGAGTGAAATTATTCTACACCCTAATCATCAGGAAAGAAATCATACCCAGTACTGAAAACCTAGCTAGATTCTCCAGGATAGAGAGGTCATGGACCGTAGAAAATAATTGGGTAGCACCACTTTGCTAGACCAGAATAATTCTTTACTACATTCTAAATCTTGTACCCATAGGTAAGTGTAGCTACCTGTGTATCAAAGAAGCGTCTCTTTACAGCAAATGGAGAACACAACAGAAAATCACTGCAGGATACAATGCAGAGATTAACAAGTTTGGGGAAGCCTGGACCAAACGGATACATTTACATCACAGCTCCTACATTTGTAGTTCAGGGAACATCAGAGAAGGGTGCCTGGAAAGACTGGATAAGCCAGAATACCAAAAAGTTTGATAAGAGATATTTTCTCCTAGAAATGGCTGTTGTAGAATGTTATTTTAAGATGTGTTACATTTGTTTATGTTGTGGAACATTTGTTTAATGATGCAAAACTGTGTTGCATTCTCTCATGCTGCATTTGTTGAACTCTGTGAACCTGTGTTACCATGCCTGTCTAAAACGACTGATTGGTCTAATAAAGAGCTGAACAACCAATAGCTGGGCAGGAGAAGGGATAAGCGGGGCTGGCAGACAGAGAGAATAAATGGAAGGAGAAATCTGGGAGAAAAAGAAGAAAGAGCAAGAGAACAAGGAGAGGAAGAAGCTAGGGGCCAGCCACCCAGCCACACAGCCTGACACGGAGTAAGAGTGAAAGTAAGATACACAGAAGTAAGAAAAGGAAAAAGCCCAGAGGCAAAAGATAGCTGGGATAATTTAAGAAAAGCTGGCTAGCAACAAGCCAAACTAAGGCTGGGCATTTATAATTAAGAATGAGCCTCTGTGTGTGATTTATTTGGGAGCTGGGTGGCAGGCCCCTCCCCAAAGAGTGAAAAACAACCAACAACAAATGACTGCATAAACAAGACCAATGACAATACTGATGGACATATTAATGTATAAAGGGGAAAATTCCGTGGGGTCCCACAACTGACAAAGAACTACAGGCAAACAATGACTGGTGGGAGGAAAATTAGTCTATCCCAGGGAGTAGCCACTTCTTGGTGGTCCAATGCAGAGTGGTAAGCCTTGGAACTATATATAGACAACAGTATGTATTCATGATTATCATGTGCACACATATGTTCACATATACATATATGTGTGTATGTATGCATATATATAAAATATGTGTGTAGCAAATAGTAATGAAAGAAAGAGGTTGTCAATTTAATAGAGAATGAAGGTATGGGAGGAAGATATTTGAAGAACAGTAGCTGGGAGGAGCTAGAGCGAGGAAGGAAAGTGATATGTAATTCTATTTCAGCTAAAAGCTCATTTTTAAAAAAACAATGAAAAATATCAAAAATATGTAGCTTCCAAAATAATTACTTTTAAATATCAGTGGAGTACAATTAAAATTTAAATTTCACCATTTCTTTGATTATAATATAATCATATTTTGATAATATGAAGAATACTGTAGAACTTGATTTGGTAATTTGAAATAATTTATAAAATATGTTAATAGCTGAAGATATTTATAACTGCACTTAATACAATCCTATCAGGGCAAGTAAAAAGAATAATACACAAAGATGCTATTTTATATTACAATTATTTTTAAAAAGAAAAGATTGTTAATAATGATTATCTTCAAAGTCTGAAACTACTGGTCAAAAGTATGAATTAGAGAAAGGATTTGAATTTTTCAAGTGTTTTACAACATTATGCTGTTTTCACATCTATCTAAAGAATACATTTAAAGACAAAGTGAGGTCGTTGGACTAAAAAGTCCAATGCACTTGACTACACATTCTAACCTATGGATTGCCCAGAGTCCGGGGAAGATGCTACGTCCGGCCAGTGTGGGATATCTGAGGGAAAAAATCTAAGTACACTATGCTCTTATGTCTGTTAACTTTATTCCTCTAAGACAAAATTCTATCTTTACAGCTGCAGCTCCGTCTGGCATTCAGGTCAGGAATAAATCTAGATACACCAAGCTCATTGTCCATCTACTTTATTTCTCTAGGATGAAATCCTGTCTACATAGCTTCAGTTCTGTCCTGACACTCAGTTCCTCTTTAACCCCTCATTTACTGCCCTCTCATAGTCCTGCTCACAACTAAGCTCTTATACTTCCAGCCTCATCTTCATCCTCTGTTTCTTCACCCTCCATCTCTTCTTGCCCTCTACTCCTGGCTCAAGAGTTCTGCCTTACCATCTATCTACCTTACATCTGTGTTCTTTTCTCCCTAGTCATGCCATTCTGTCTGCTTCTACAGAAAATGCCTGTTTTTCTTTCCCTTGGCCATGGGGTTTTTTGCCTCCTCAGGAATGTTGTTCCACTCTACCTTCCACCTTGATATGTAAAAACTTCTTTTGTTCTCAGTCAATTGCTCTGGAGAGCCACTAGGCCTCAAGGCAAGGGTATGGTCTGGTCTTCATTTGCACAAAAAACAAAGCCACGGGTCTCCCACAAGCTTGTCTTTGCCTAAGTGACCTTATCCAAGTACTGGCTTGAGCAGAGAAGCTCACACACACATTCTATGGGAACTGTGAGCACAAGAAATTCATAACAAAGCACAGCTGAATATTAAGCTGTGTAACACCAAATAGTCCATGCTAGATGGCTTGCCACTTGACTGACCCCTGACCTGGTCAAGGTATAGCTTTAATACACAGCTGTACTCCTTATACCATATTCTTGTGGCTTGCTACACTAATCATGCAGGTAAAATGATGATTTCTCAACCTCCTTGATGTTCACTGCAGCTGCCTGTCTCACAGCAGCTAACAGAATCATTGGATTAGGACCTGACAGAGTTTCACTGATGTGGGCAAATAAGAACATCAGCACCCTCATAACCTCCATCAGTTCTGTCCAACTGAAATCAGCCACTTAGAACAACACAGCTACAAAGTATTATGCATTCATTCTTCCTTCTGTCAGTTCATTCATCTTCTGATTTCAAATCAGAAGCAGCAGCAAGAATTCCTGAGGATTAGCTAATGAAAATATCATGATAGTGATGGATTGTGCGAAGAGAATTTCTGGAACATTAAAGTTGGGGAAAAGAAATTCATATAATTGAAGAAATCTCAAGCAACTATGGCCACAACTAGAACAAAGGCTTAGTCTTTCTTCCCAAAAATGTTTACATTTAAAAAAAAAATCACATTATCATTTTAGACATACTACTCCTCTAGGAATAAGAGATGTTTATTAAATGATAATGTATTCCCTAGATTACTTTAATAAAAGCATTTAAGTGTAGTAGATAGCCTGCTACATCTGTTTATCTAGTTTGTATACACAAAGAATAGTTGATAATGTGAAATTTCAGTATATATATATTCATGTTTTTCATAGGCAAAATTCTTATTTCACAGAATGAAATTTTCAGTGGTGTAGAAATTTTATGTTTTAGTTAGTTCTGGCATTTTTGCTCAAAAAATAGTCAAATTTGCCCTATATTTTATGCAGTTGTATCCACGGCCAATTTGAAAATCACACTGAGTCCACTTTTGCATAATGCTTCTGATTTGGTTGCATTCCAAACAGATTTATGACCTGTGCATTTAGGTCATTTAAAAGCACCAGTGTTGGCTTAATTCTTTCTCCTTCCCTAAGGTATGTTTTGGGGGTAATGAATGAGTAGCTTATAGCATAGTGGATCAAGATGATTTTATTGGGCTAAGACAAGAATCAAATTAAGAACTGTGCTTTTAGAGATCAGAGTCATGAGAATCAAAGAAGAGAACAAAGCCAAAACCAGGGGAAAATGTCTCCAAATAAAAACGGAAGACGGTGACTCCAATCACCCCCAAAATGAGGCAATCAGAAACAGTTCTGGGCTGGGAAGTAAGTATAAGGCAGAGAAAATTGGGTTTTTAAAAATCAAATGATACTTCATTTAATTGGCTTAAGTGTGTGTTAAAGTGTTATCTATAATTAAGTCCAACTATCCAGGGTCATCATGTAGCCTGTGTAACTTGTACAGTGCACGTAAACAACAGATAAAGTATATGGAGTCTCATTTGCTCAAGGGAAGTCCTTGTTTTTATTCACACAAAGGGTTCACATGGGCCAGGAAACCATAGGCTCAGATTAAGTAAACAAATTTCTACTGTGCTATTTTATGGCTTTCAACCTTTCAGTTCTCTTTGTCTAAGCTATGTTCAAAGTAAGACTTGCACTAAAATAATGAAGTGCTGTTATTATAGCATTTTAAAATTTTTAAATAGATCATGTGAAACATAATATTTGTATTTATGCGGTACAGTGTAGTGTTTCAGTACCTGTAAATAATGTGTAACTATAAAAATGGAGTAATCGATTTATCTATCCTCTCAGACACATGCCATATCTTTGTGTTAAGAGCGTTCAAACACATTGGCTCGATATTTTGAAATATCAAATTGGTTTTTGCCAATCATAATTACCTGCTGTTCGGGATTACTAGAAGCTATGCTTCCTATTGCTCCTTGCCTATTGACTGGTCTGTCTGTAGCCTTTCTTCACACATTCCCTCCCTAGACACTTTATTCTGTTGTTTTAATGATGGGATCTTTTCATTTACTTCTACAAATATTTACTGAGCTGCAAATGCATGCACTCTAGGAGGTAATCCAAAGGATGTACGATCTTTGCTTTTTCAGATTATTACAATAATGTTAGAAGCTAGGGATCCCACATCAGGAAGTATTGCAGCGTAAAAGTAACAATAAGTGCATCTGGGACACATGGGATAATAGAAGCTGAGTATGGGGATATAGTTGGTTAACTCAA